CAAAATAGGATGACTTGGAGGGTTTATAAATCTGTAGTGGAGGGAAGGAGGGGGTTGGGGTCAGTGTAGGAAAGGGTGAAGGGAGGGGGGAAAAAGAGGTTTTGTGTGCAAGGGGCCTGGACATATAGCAGGCATGTGTGAGCATGTTAGTAAGAATGAATGAAGACAAATGGTTTTTGGGACCTGATGAGCTATTGAGTGTGAGCAGGGTAATATTTTATGAAGGGATTCAGGGAAACAGGTTAGCTGGGGCTTGAGTCCCGGAGGTACAATGCCTGAACTTTAAAGAGGGGTTTGGGATTTTTGGCTGTTTGGAGTGACATCTAAACTGTCATATCTGAGCACTTCTGCAAAGACAGTGATTGTGTGAATGATGATGAAATGTTGTGGGTACCCTGCTTTCAGTAGTTACATTTGCACTAACCTCTTCCCCCTGGGTGAATGATGGTGAAAGTGTTTCTTTCTTTTTTGGGTTACCCTGCTTCGGTGGGAAACGGCTGACGTGTTGAAAAAATTTAACTTTTTAAAAACTACTTAATATCATATTTCATCAAAAGCGGAAAGTGCAAGGTCCTGTAGGTAGCCAGATTAAGGTCCCCAAAACAAATAAAAAAAAAAAAGGTTGGAACCACTAATCTAAGTTAATGAGATATACTGAGTACCAATACCCTTTGGCAATATTTTTTTTTTTAATTTTTTAACACGATGGCTGTCTCCCACTGAGGTAGGATGACCCAAACAAAGAGGAAACACTTTCACTATTATTCATTCAATTGTTGTCTAGCCATAAATAAATTTTTATCAAAAGTTGAGATGGCCCTCTAATTGAAAACAGCTTCATACCTCCATCAGAGTGCAGGTAATGTACAGTGGATCCCTGCATAACGATCAGCTCCCAACTCAACCAATTATGTAAGTGTATTTTTGTAAGTGCTTTTGTAGGTGTATTTTTGGGGGTCTGAAACGGACTAATCTAATTCACAATATCTTTATGGGAACAAATTCGGTCTATAACAGCACCCAAACAGACTTGGATTGAAATAATATGTTATGGGGGGGGGTCCACTGTACTTCCCATAACCTGTATATGGTACCATATTTGGAATTTACTACATGGAAAATTTTTTTCTTTTTAAACGGAGTGAAAACTCAGTCCCGTAAGCCAGCATATAAATAGCTATTCATGTATTTGTGATTTATTTCCCCTTTAAAAACATAACAGAAACTTTGTTCCACCAAATAAATTTTTCATAAACAACTTCAACTGATATTATTTTTTTTTTAACACAATGCCCATCTCCCATCGACACAGGGTTACCCAAAAAAGAAACACTTTCACCATCATTCACCCCATCATTGTTTTGCCAGAGGCATGCCAATACTTCAGTTCAGATCCCCCTCCAAACTGCAAATATCTCCACCCCTCTTCAGAATGCAGGCACTGTACTTTCTACCTTCAGAACTCAAGTCTGGCTAATCAGTTCTCCTGAATCCCTTAACAAAATGTTACCTTGCTCTCACCCTAACAACATGTCAACTCCCAAAAACCATTCGCCTCCACTCACCCTTCATCTAACATGCTCACACATGCCTGCTTGATGTCTAAGCCCCTCAAACACAAAACCTCATTTACTATGTCCCTCCAGCCTTTCCTAGGGCAACCTCTACCATGCCTTTCCCCCACTACAGATTTATACACCCTCCAAGTCATCCTATTTTGCTCCATCCTCTCTATATGTTCAAATGACATCAGAAACCCTTCTGGATAATACTCTTAGTAACTCCACACCTCCTCTTAATCTCCAAACTATGAAGTCTCTGTATAATACTTACACCACACATTGCTCTCAGCCATGACATCTCTACTGCCTCCAGCCTCCTCCCTGTTGCAGCACTTACAACCAATGCTTCACACCTATATAAGAGCATTGGTACCACTATACGCTCATATATTCCCCTTCTTTGCTTCCATGGATAACGTTCTTTGTCTCAACAGCTGCCTTAATTCACTACTTACCTTTTTCCCCTCATTAATTCTATAATTCACCTCATCTTTCATACCCATCCACGACAAGTTCACTCACAAATATCTGAACACATTAACATCCTCCATACTCCTTCCACCCATTATGTGCCTCAGTAATCTTTTGACAACTGCCCAAAGGATGGGTATAGGGTGCATATTAAAAATAAAAATATTAAACTAACCACCTTCTAATCTGATATTCAATCTTTCATTACTCATTTGTTAACCTCTTTCTTATGTTCACTTTTAATTTTCTTCCTTTACATGCCCTCCCAAATTCATCCACCTACCTTCGAAATTTTTCTTCAGAATCTCCCAAAAGCACAGTTCATCAACAAAAAACACTTCCCTCAAGTCCCACTGTCCATTAGATTCTTAGATTCTGCATATTTTAATCCCACACCTCTTCCCAATACCCTACCATTCACTTCTTTTACAACTCCATCTATGAATATGTTAAACAACCATGGTGATATCACATAACCCTGTCTAAGGCCTACTTTTATTTTTATTATTATTATTATTATTTTTTAATAAGTCGGCCATTTCCCACTGAGGCAGGGTGACCCAAAAAGAAAGAAAATCCCCAAAAAGAATATACTTTCATCATTATTCAACACTTTCACCTCACTCACACATAATCACTGTTTTTGCAGAGGTGCTCAGAACACAACAGTTTAGAAGCATATACATATAAAGATACACGACATATCCCTCCAAACTGCTAATACCCCAAACCCTTCCTTTAGAGTGCAGGCATTGTACTTCCCATTTCCAAGACTCAAGTCTGGCTATATAAAAATAACCGGTTTCGCTGAATCCCTTCACTAAATATTACCCTGCTCACACTCCAACAGATTGTCAGGTCCCAAATACCATTCGTCTCCATTCACTCCTATCGAACACGCTCATGCACGCCTGCTGGAAATCCAAGCCCCTTGCCCACAAAACCTCCCTTACCCCTTCCTTCCAACATTTTCGAGGACGACCCCTACCCCACCTTCCTTCCCCTACAGATTTATACGCTCTCCACATCATTCTACTTTGATCCATTCTCTCTAAATGACCATACCACCTCAACAACCCCTCTTCAGCCCTCTGACTAATACTTTTATTAACTCCACACCTTCTCCTAATTTCCACACTCCGAATTTTCTGCATAATATTTACACCACACATTGCCCTTAGACAGGACATCTCCACTGCTTCCAACTGCCTCCTCGCTGCTGCATTCACAACCCAAGCTTCACACCCATATAAGATGTTGGTACTACTATACTTTCATACATTCCCTTCTTTGCCTCCATAGATAACGTTTTTTGTCTCCACATATACCTCAATGCACCAATCACCTTTTTTCCCTCATCAATTCTATGATTAACCTCATCCTTCATAAATCCATACGCCGACACGTCAACTCCCAAGTATCTGAAAACATTTACTTCTTCCATACTCCTCCTCCCCAATTTGATATCTAATTTTTTTCTTTATCTAAATCATTTGATACCTCATCACCTTACTCTTTTCTATGTTCACTTTCAACTTTCTACCTTTACACACACCCCACCCAAACTCATCCACTAACCTTTGCAATTTTTCTTTAGAATCTCCCAAAAGCACATATCATCAGCAAAAAGCAACTGTGTCATTCCCATTTTGTATTTAACCCCCCATAATTTAATCCCACCCCTCTCCTGAACACCTGCATTTACTTCTTTTACAACCCCATCTATAAATATATTAAACAACCATGGTGACATTCCCACATCCCTGTCAAAGGGACCTATTTTACTGGGAAGTAGTCCCCCTCTCTTTACACACCCTAACCTGAGCCTCACTTCCTCATAAAAACTCTTTACGGCATTTAGTAACTTACCACCTATTCCATATACTTGCAACATCTGCCACATTGCTTCCCCATCCACTCTATCATGTGCCTTTTCTAAATCCATAAATGCAATAAAAATTCCCTACCTTAATCTAAATACTGTTCACATACATGCTTAAATGTAAACACTTGATCTATACTCCCCCTACCCAACTCTGAAACCTCCTTGCTCACCCGCAATCCTACATTCTGTCTTACCTCTAATTCTTTCAATTAAAACCCCTTTACCTTTACACTTTTCCTGGTATACTCAGTAAACTTTTTTCCCTCTAAAATTTTTTACAATCTCTTTTGTCCCCCTTCCCTTTATAATAAGGGACTATACATGCTCTCTGCCAATCCCTAGGTCCCTTTCCCCCTCTTTCATACATTTATTAAAAAAAAATACCAACCACTCCAACACTGTATCCTCCCCTGCTTTTAACATTTCTGTCATGATCCCATCAATTCCAGCTGCTTTACCCCCTTTCATTCTACGTAATGCCTCACGCACCTCCCCCACACTCACATCCTATCCTTCTTCGCTCCTAAAACATGGTATACCTCCCTGGCCAGTGCATGAAATTTCCGCTTCCCTTTCTTCGTCGACATTTAAAGTTCCTAAAATATTCCCGCCATCTACCCAAAACCTCCATCTCCCCATCTACTAACTCCCCTACTCTGTTTTTAACTGACAATCCATTCGTTCTCTAGGCTTTCTTAACTTGTTTAACTCACTCCAAATTTTTTTCTTATTTTCATTAAAATTATTATTATTATTATTATTATTATTATTATTATTATTATTATTATTATTATTATTATCATTGTGAAGTATTAAACCTGTAAGTGGTTATACAGTCTCAGTGGAAAGAGAAGCAATCAGGTTTGATCCAAGGAATGAGAATAAAGGTCCAATTATTTGGATCAAGAACCTATATCTGGCATAAGGAACCTCCCTTGAGGAGATGGTTTCTATAAATATTCTTGTAATGAATACTAATTTACATCCAAAACATGTACAGCATCACATAATCTTAAAGGTGAATTTTCATAACAAAACTATCAAAAAACATTAAAAAACAAATTGTCATAATAAATTATTACCTTGGTAACAGTACACCATTTGTCAATTCTAGCATCATAGCATCCCATCAGGAAAACTGACATCATTCCTCCTGCAGAATAAAAATATATTAGTATGTATGTAGAGCATTATATATATCGGATCATTATTTGGTTGTAGCTACAGTTAGAGTAAGAGGTAGATGGGAAAAGAGGAAGGTGGCAACAACAAGTAAGAGGGAGGTGAAAGTGTATAAACTAAGGGAGGAGGAAGTTCGGGTGAGATATAAGCGACTATTGGCAGAAAGGTGGGCTAGTGCAAAGATGAGTAGTGAGGGGGTTGAAGAGGGTTGGAATAGTTTTAAAAATGCAGTATTAGAATGTGGGGCAGAAGTTTGTGGTTATAGGAGGGTGGGGGAGGAGGAAAGGAGTGTTTGGTGGTGATGAAGAAAAGGGGTGTGATAAAAGAGAAAAAGGTAGTTTATGAGAGGTTTTTTACAAAGCAGAAGTGTTAAAAGAAGAGCAGAGTATATGGGGGAGTAAAAGAAAGGTGAAGAGAGTGGTGAGAGAGTGCAAAAGGAGAGCAGATGATAGAGTGGGAGGGCACTGTCAAGAAATTTTATGAAAATAAGAAAAAATTTTGGAGTGAGTTAAACAAGTTAAGAAAGCCTAGGGAAAGTATGGATTTGTCAGTTAAAAACAGAGTAGGGGAGTTAGTGAATGGGGAGATGGAGGGTTTTTAGGTAGATAGCGAGAATATTTTGAGGAACTTTTAATGTTAGGAAAAAAAGAGAGGCAGTAATTTCATGCACTGATCAGGGAGGTATACCATCTTTTAGGAGTGGGAAAAGAGCAGAATGTAAGGGTGGGGGAGGTACGTGAGGCATTATGTAGAAAGAAAGGGGGGTTTTTAAACAGTGGAAAATGATGGGATCATGACAGAAATGTAAAAGCAGGGGGGGATATAGTGTTGGAAGTGGTTGGTTCTTTTGTTCAATAAATGTATGAAAGAGGGGAAGGTACTTAGGGATTGGTGGGAGAGCATGTATAGTCCCTTTATATAAAGGGAAAGGGGACAAAAGAAACTGTAAAAATTAGAGAGGAATAAGTTTATGAGTTTTACCAGGAAAAGTGTACGGTAGGGTTATAATTGAAAATTTAGAGGTAAGACAGAATGTAGGATTGCGGATGAGCAAGGAGGTTTCAGGTGGGTAGGGGATGTGTAGATCAAGTGTTTACATTTTAAGCATATATGTGAACGTATTTAGATAAAGGTAGGGAGTTTTTATTGCATTTATGGATTTAGAAAAGGCATATGATAGAGTGGATAGAGGAACAATGTGGCAGATGTTGCAAGTATATGGAATAGGTGGTAAGTTATTAAATGCTGTAAAGAGTTTTTATGGGGGATAGTGAGGCTCAGGTTAGGGTGTGTAGAAGAGAGGGAGACTCCCTTCCCGGTAAAAGTAGGTCTTAGACAGGGATGTGTAATGTACCATGGTTGTTTATATATTTACAGATGGGGTTGTAAAGGAAGTAAATGCTAGGGTGTTCGGGAGAGGGGTGGGATTAAATTTTGGGGAATCAAAATTTAAATGGGAATTGACACAGTTACTTTTTGCTGATGGGTACTGTGCTTATGGGAGATTCTAAAGAAAAAATTTCAAAGGTTAGTGGATGAGTCTGGGAATGTGTGTAAAGGTAGAAAATTGAAAGGGGAAATAGAAAAGAGTAAAGGGGATGAGGGTGTCAAATGATTTAGATAAAGAAAATTGGATATCAAATTGGGAGGAGGAGTATGGAAGAAGTGAATGTTTTCAGATACTTGGGAGTTGATGTGTCGGCGGATGGATTTATGAAGGATTTAGGTTAGTCATAGAATTTATGAGGGAAAAAAAGGTGAGTGGTGCGTTGAGGTATATGTGGAGTCAAAAAACGTTATCTATGGAGGCAAGAAGGGAATGTATGAAATTTTAGTGTACCAAAACTCTTATATGGGTATGAAGCTTGGGTGGTAAATGCAGCAGCGAGGAGACGGTTCGAGGCAGTGGAGATGTCCTGTTTAACCCTTTTTGGGGGCGACTGGCCCTCTCCCAAACTCGTTCTCAGGGTCGGCCAAATTTAAAAAAAAAAATTATTTTCTTTTTATGAAAAGATAGAGAATCTTTTCCCGATCATAAAGACACCAAAATTTTGAAATTTGATAGAAAACTTAGGGAAATTATGCTCTCCAAAGTTAGCGGTCTCGGCGATGTTTACGCATCGGCGATTTTGCCCACTTTGAGCCCATTTTCGGCCAATTTCACTGTATAGTCGACAAAAACATTAATATTTCGCTAGAACCCCATTTTTTCTATCGAATGGGTGCAAAAAACCCCCATTTATAAACTCAACTACCCATTTACAGTGGTCAGAATTTAGCAATTTTGCCAATTTCACACAAATTTCAAAGATGCCAATTTCCGAATAGGGTCCCGAATAAAAAGAAAGACATTCCCGGCACTAAAATGACATTTCCTCTAGTCATTAGTCACGTCTCAAGGCCCCTCTTATATTCTTTTGCTTTCCACTTTTAATTTTTATTCTCACAAAAAATATAAGATTTACTGTTATGCAGACTACTGCATTAGTGTAAAAAATGTTAAATATTATTGGTGCACTTGTGAAAGAATATTAGACTCACCAGTTGACGTGTATTGCCGCTTGGCACGATTTGTTTACTTTTTAGTTTGGTAAAAATCGAACATTTCTGCACTTTGAGCTCAATTTCAAGGCACCTTTCATTGTAAAAAACCAGTCAAAATCTTTCAATTTCTGTAATATGTTCTTCCATTCTTTTTAAAAAAGAGACCAAAAAAACTAGAATACAACAATAAATACCATACGAAATACACTGCAAAGTCGCTGATTTATTAAAAAAAAATGGTCAAAGTTTTTTTTTTCTCATTATGCACTGTGTGCTGCAGGATTTTTTTTAGACTGTGCACACTGACCACATAGACCCATTCTTTCATATGAAGGCCTACCAGCTTTCTCCCACTAGATTTGAGGCCGCTAGAATTTATGAGTACTAGTACGTCAAAAACCCCTACGCGTAAGATGTACTAGTACGACCAAAACCCTCAAAGGGTTAAGGGCAATGTGTGGTGTAAATATTATGCAGAAAATTCGGAGTGTGGAAATTAGGAAAAGGTGTGGAGTTAATAAAAAGTATTAGTCGGAGGGCAGAAGAGGGGTTGTTGAGGTGGTTTGGTCATTTAGAGAGAATGGATCAAAGTAGAATGACATGGAAAGCATATAAATCTATAGGGGAAGGAAGGCGGGGTAGGGGTCGTCGTCAAAAGGGTTTGGAGAGAGGGGGTAAAGAAGGTTTTGTGGGCAAGGGGCTTGGACTTCAGCAAGCGTGGGGTGGCGTGTTAGATAGGAGTGATGGAGACGATGGTACTTGGGACATGACGATTGTTGGAGTGTGAGCAGGGTAATATTTAGTGAAGGGATTCGGGGGAAAACTGGTTATTTTCATATAGTCGGACTTGAGCCCTGGAAATGGGAAGTACAATGCCTGCACTCTAAAGGAGGGGTTTGGGATATTGGTAGTTTGGGGGATATGTTGTGTATCTTTATATGTGTATGCTTCTAAACTGTTGTATTCTGAGCACCTCTGCAAAAACAGTGATAATGTGCGAGTGTGGTGAAAGTGTTGAATGATGATGAAAGTATTTTCTTTTTGGGGATTTTCTTTCTTTTTTGGGTCACCCTGCCTCGGTGGAAGACGGCCGACTTGTTGAAAAAAAAAAAAAATGTAGAGCAGGGCCCGACTTTATGGTGGTTCGCTTTACAGTGTTCCGCTAATACGGACATTTCAAATTATGCCCAAAACTCGTTATATGGCTCCCCCTGTCTTTCTAATACGGTCACCGTGCCCCACCCAGTATGTTTACATTCTCTGTGAGCACATCTCCATTATGTCTGAAACTTTCCAAAATTTCAATTTTTTTTTGTTATGGGTTTTTGTTATGGGTGTTAAACCTCTTTTCACGACACCTTACCATCCGATGTGTAACGGAAGAGTGGAGCGACAACATGCCATCCTAAAGTCAATATTAAAAAAACTATGTATTCTTAAACCAACGGACTGGCATAGATTTTTACCATGTGCTCTTTTCGCAATGCGCGAGATTCCAAGTGATTCCCTTGGTTATTCCCCTTTTGAATTGCTTTATGGGAGACAAGCTCGTGGACCACTATCTATTTTGAATGAACTTTGGTCCAAAGATATCAAACCTGAGGTTCAAAAAAAGCTATCAGTTTCTTTTAGATCTAAGGGAAAGGTTGGAAAGAAACCGCCCATTTGGTCGGTAAAACCTTGAGATGTCTATGGAAACGTTACAAGACCTATTTTGACCATAAAAGCTCCAAGCGTACGTTTAATGTTGGTGATGAAGTTTTAGTTTCCTACCTGACAAATCCAACAAATTGTAATTACCTGGCGCGGCCCGTATAAAGTAGTAAAGGTCTGCAAAAAGGGTAGATTAAAACTTGGATGTAAAAGGGTAGAAAAAGAATGTTTTCACGTCAATATTTTGAAACGGTACCATAAAAGGGGGGAAAGTTAATTTTGGGTGTAAAAATTCCTTTGCGAAGTTTACTACTTTTTTTTCGGCTTGGTTACATGTGGTGTTTCGTACAAATGTAGAGTTTGTATTATAGATGCGAGTCTTTTAAAAATCAAAGGGAATTACTGGATATCTTAAGAATGATCCCTCACCAAAGAGTCAAATGTCAACATTAAAAAAAGGACTTGTCAAATAAAAAAAAGTCTCAATTTAAGTCCCCTTAGTAAATTCTTTTTCTGACGTTTTCCCACAGAGGTACCAGGACTTACCCCCAAATATTGTACACAAGATTTAAATTTTCGGTTTATGAACCAGTAAGGGGAAAAATAAAACTACCCTTTCCCGTTCACTTTCGGGAAACTTTTGTTTAAAGAGGTTGAAATATTTAACTTAAACATTTATAGAAACCTTCGAAAAAGCTTTCGTTCCCAGTTGTTTTTGGTTTAAAAAATCCGATAAATTTTTACCGGCTTGGAAAAAGATTTTTGTTTTTTTAA